CTTAATACTGCGCTTCTCAATGCTTACTGCTATATCGATTTTACTTCAAAAAGAAAATTGATGTAATTTTAAGACGTAACTGTAAGAAAAAGGCAGATTTGGAATTCTCTCGTAAATCAGCGGAAAGAGCTCAGATAATAGCTGAATGTTCGGTAATTCAATTGATAACGCACCATACCGGTAGCTGAGTTTTGAATTTTAAAAGGTTTTTTGCGAATATCGGCGGGCAATGGACAGCAGCCAGCTAAAAGTCTTAGTTGTGGCAGATGTTAGAGGGAGTAATACTGATTTGCGAGAGAACGATATGGTGAAAGAGGCCGAGTTTTGGTTAAACAAATCTTACTTTTGCATGGTCGTTTTCGCGACAGCGCACCTCACAAATAGCACATCAATCTTGTGGAGGTCGAGTAAATTGGGTTAAACCGCTGTAAATTCGGATCCGACAGATTACTATGTGAGAAGTCACTTAAAAATAAGGCCCTTGTTGGGAGAAAACGAATTTTTGCGTCTAGATCGCCTGTAATCTGACTTGTTGGCATATGCAAAGTCGCACCTTGTTGAGAAGAGCAGCGCATAAGCTTTTTTAGCCATAGTATCTCTGATGATCATTGACGAAGGGGAATTCGGTTTTTTGCAACAACTTCAACTTGTTTTGTCTTCCACCAAAAATCAGATTTTCAGATTTCTCTCCCATCTTCGCATTATCCAATGGATTATTACTCCAATGACTCGCTTGGACCTTGGACGAATAATCACGAGTCTTATCGGCCTGTAAGAACTAGGCGAAGAGAGAAAGTTGTCGTGACTGCTGCCACGGTTTGAGTTTTGAACAGATGTATTTTTACATTGAACGGCTGTTCTTCTTCTGCTCGAGCTTTCTTATGTTTTCGTCTTTACATTTGTCAGTATGCTGTGTAATGTCCTCTACATTTGCTATGTGCAAATTTTTTGTCTTGCATCTTCGCCAACCGTTTTTTCTCTGATCAAATCTGCGGGACCAGGATAATGCAGTTTGTCCGCTTGAAGGAGAGTCAGCATTGTTCATCTTTACATTGTGGTTTCTGAAGGTGAATGAGGACGCTTCCCAAAAGAGTGCTTTAAGAAACAGCTAGATAGGTTTCATGTAGACTGACATGTAACTTGAGGTACATGTCTTTTGCATTAAAGTTTAAAATATTCCCGAAAGATAAGCCGCTCGGTGAAACTACCCTTTTTCCAGTGCACTTGCCTTACATTAGATTCAAAAGCGTAGTAGTTTAAAAATTTACAAGCTTTCCATTCAGTTGATTTATAATTAAAAGAAGTTTTTACAATCCAGCTAAGATCCTATGTTTCTTGTGGTCATACTTATTCTTTCCTTTGTATATATGTGCTATCATCCGTTACAAAATCCACCTAAAATTGTTGAGTTTGTTCTTCTCATGTCTGTTGAAAGTTCCTTGTTATCGTTATAGTTGATGTTGAAATTAGGATTGTTATCAGAATACTCAAATCATGAATCATTTATGAAAAACGACTGATATCTGTTCCAGCTTTAATAATTGGTTTG